GCAGAAAAGAGGGGGAAACAGTGACTGATTTTGCTTTTTGAACTTAAATGAATGCAAGCAGTTTCTCAGTGACATGCCGAGACTGGGAACGTGTGGGTTCATCAGAAATCATCCCTTTCAAGGACCAAAAGGTAAAAGGAATCTGAGAGGAAACCTTCTATGCTTGCTAGGTGACCACCTGGAGGCCCCTGTTGCGTTATTTCTTATACCTATAAGGGTGTATACCTGGTTTTGCTTCTCTAGAATAGTCATCTAATACAGGTTGTGTTTTAAGTAAAACTTTAAAAAAGATATTAAACAAGCAAAGGCTAGAACCAGATTTGGGGAAATGAGCTGTCATGCAATAGGAAGACTAACCAGGGGCAGAAGCTCAGAGATGAAAACCTTTCTCCACACAGTCTGCAGAGAAAGAAAGCCTTCTTCCAGAGTCAGCACCCTGAATTTGGACCCCTGTGCTCCTAAACTCTGAGAAAACAAATTTCTGCTTGTTAAAGCCATGCATTTGTGGTGTTTCTAGTGGTAGCACGAGATAACTAAGAAACCTAATGTGTAGCAACAGTGTGGCCTAGTGATGCTGATGACTGAGCATCTCCTTATCTATGCAGCAACCTGAGTTGATGAAAGCATTTCCTCCCCACCTCTTCCCAGAATTAGAGTCGTTTTCAGATGTCATAACAGAGAAAGAAAATGAAAACCGAAACAAGAAATTTCATATGATAGGTCAGGAAACTATGACTATGATGAAATTGAATCAGCTTGCCATGGAAGTTGTATTAAAGCTAACCATAGAAATTTCTTCCAAGGGTCTACATGAAACCATATGGTATTCTCCAACTTCTCAGTATTTCAAAAGCACTTGAGCTTATGGTTTCTTATTTGGTTCCTTTTTTTTTTTTCCTTAAGAGTAAATATCAAAGATGGGAAAACTACAATTGGAGGCCTACTCTTGTTTACTGACTTTTAAAATGCTATTATTCCTCAGTGTGATGTGCATATGTAATCTTACTAAAATCATATTTTTCATTTGCATCGCTTTCATGGTACTAATAAGATATAGATAGGGTAGAGAGTTATTACTTGGATGGGGCAGGTGGCAGTTTTCCACCAGGGGGACTTTGGCAAAAAAAAAAGGTGGGAGCAGGAAAAGATATTGTGAGGAGTACAAGAGTTCAACACAAAAGAGGTAAATACTGTTGTGTACACATTTCTGCTGTTAATAGATTCATGGATGAGACATGCAGGTAGTGTAAGAGGGAGAGTAGGAATAAAGGTAGATGGATGGATAGATAGATAAATAGATCTTTGAAAGAAGTTTGTACATGGGTCTTTATCTTTGTTTTATGAATAACCATGAAGGTGGTGGAGCATAAAGGGAGAAAGTTATGAACATTTATTAGACATAAATCCAGATCTGGGGAAAATGAGTCCTTGAGCATCAAGCTCAGAACCAGAGTCACAGTAGACATCAAGGTCAACTGCTATAGCACAATGCTCTACATTCTCGTTTGATGAGTAGTAGTTGGAGTGCTAGGTCTCCCTTGTCTGGAGAAAAGAAGAGTGGTAGAAAGCAAAGACAGATAGAAACAATGAGTTCGGTGGACTAATGGATTATATGAGCATTGGTTTTCATGACCCTGAAACCAGAAAGAACTAGATGGTGCCAGACTATCATTACCAACTACTCTTAAAGGGATCACAAGAGGAAAGAATATTGAATAAAACTCAAAATCTTAGAGCAAATCAAGCTAATTGATCAGCTAGAGAAGGTGTAACCCTAAGATTATGTCACTTGGTCACTTTTTAGTTCTGCTATTGGACTCACCCATGTAACTCAGTTTTCAGCCAAACAGTAAATAGGTCTATAAAAAGAATAGCACTGGTGGCATAGGAACATCTTCAAATAATAAGCCATTTTAGGCAAAGGAGTAGCATTTATCCAAGGACAACATTTAGAAAGTGTGATCATTAGATTATTGCATCCGTGTGGCAGGGTCAGAATTTTCAGTGGTCCTGCGGTGAGTCTCTATAATGGAATCTGCTGTGGGAAAGAAGGCAGCTGTAAGAGGGCAGGGAGGGCTCTAGGCTTCTTATTCAGGTCACAGCCCTGAGACACTTGGAAGGAAGTTTCTGGGAAATATGGCGGACTCCTGCTTAAGCAGACTCTATGGGAAGGATTTTTTTCTCTCCTTGTTTGTCTGAATTCTGTGTCTATGTCATCAACCTCCAGTTCCTTGGACTTCAGTGAACAGTCTAATAGATTGCCTTCCCATGCTGGGAGCTGGAAGCTGGGAGCATCCTGCCATATTACCTGCCAATGTTGGATCCGTTCCACTTGACAACCATGTAATTGAGTTGACTGTACTCATTTTCCTCTGCCTCCACCAGCCTGTGGCCTACTTGCTTCTGGTTGCATCTGCCTACATCCTGGTTTGCCAGATCTGACAGCCATACAAGTCAAGAAACACCTCCACCTTAACATCTGACCCATAGACTCCACACTGGAGTTGCCTGCAAGTCACTTTCTTGATATTAATGTATTCCCTTATCTACAAAAATAAGCATCATTGGCTTGGCTTCCATAGAGAACTCAGCGTACCACAGTAGGGCTAGAAGAAAAGAGGGAAGGGAGGTGGGAAGCAGGGAGAAGTTGGATGGCTGATATTGCACTGAGGGGATTTACGTGGAAAAGATGGCACCGATTGTGTAGGAATTGCTGTATGTGAAACTGATGGTATGCTCAGGAAACCTTTACCTAATTCACAATAAAAAGTGGAAAAGAAGAGGAGGAAAAAAGTTTAGTTGATCAGAGCACATTGAATTCCACATTAATTTTTTAATCACAGCTAAATGGCAAATTATACCTATGAGGAAAAATAGTTGTTTCTAGTAAGTTAATGAAAAGCCTCCAGATATTGAATCCTTAAATGTTTAACTTAGTGTTCTTGGCTCTTATTTATAGAACCGTAACAATAGAAGATTTCAAGGTGCCTGCATTCTGGCTCTGCTCTTCCCAATGATGGACTTCGGGCAGTAATAGAAGTCGCTCATCATGGTCAAGGCTTGGCACATTTTTGAGACAAAAGAGCCAATCCTCCGTCACAACAATTTAAAAATTATTTGAAAGTCATAAATATATTTTGGCTCAAACAAATTAAATCACCATTACCTGAAAAAATCCTTTCTTTTCTTTTTCAATTTTACTTCGGAGCCACATGTACATGGTGAAAGAGCTGCATGTGGCTAGCAAGCCACAGTTTGCCGACTCCTGATATAGCCCAAGTATTAAAGGAAGAGGTTGAAACCAGATGGTTTCTAGGGACTCTTACTCTTTTACCATCTTTTAAAATCAATGACTTGATATTTTTATTGTATCTTTCTTTTTATTTCTTTTTTTTTTTGTATCTTTCTTCATAACCATAACAAAACAAAACAAAACAAAACGAAGCCAAATCTACTGCCATCAAGTTGATTGATGCTTGGAGTGACCCTTTGTAGGGTTTCTGCGATGGTAAATCTTTCTGAGAGTAGATAGTCTCCGCTTTCTCTAAGGGAGAAGCTGGCGGGTTGGAGGCACTAACTTTGTGGTTAAAAACCAACCTTTAACCCGGGTTAACCTTTAACCTGCCAGGGCTCATTTAAGGACCATGGGGATTTAAAAGAGAACATAATATAAATGATCATCTGAAGAAAGCGTATTGTGATCAGATTCAAAGTTTTTTTCTTACCAGAGGATTTGGTAGGAGAAAGCCATAATCTTCAGATATGTGAAATCTTTCTAAAGACAATGTCAAGGTGGTCTTCAAGTTCTGCTGTGGAGCCTCCATTATTTTGTTTGAAGTATCCACAGTGAAGCTGCACTGAAGAGGCAACTGCTTTAAATATGAGTTTATAAAAAACCAGTATCCCAGAACCGAGGCAGAACTTTGCCCTGAGATGGAATTCCAGATTGTTCCTGAAATTTCTCTGGCACAAGGTTGAGCAAACAATGAAAGATTGTTGCTTAAAACAAACAATTAAACAAGACCTCCTCAGGGAAAGTGATTGGATAACCCACATGCAATATTGTTCTGCATTGGAGAAAGGGAAGATGGACCGGATTTCCAGTCATGATTGATCCAAAACATACTTACAAGAATCTGGCTCATGGTGAGATTTCACATGGGGGTCTTTATTCCTGAGAAATAACCTATGAAAGCCTGAAATTAGCACTAGAAAGTTATTGCAGACAGGTGCTGAGCAGGGCGGGTAGAATGACTCTAAATGAATGTTGAAACCTCAGCAGGGTTTATTTGTAGTTTGCAAAATCTATATTTAAAATATCAATGCTTTAATTACTTTTTACAGTTACCATCACAGTAAAGGGAGATCGTGGATTTTTAATTTTATTTTAAAGAATGGGGCAGTATGGTACTAACAAGCTTTAAAATATTCTGAACAGAAAATTCAATTCAAGTAACTTTTATTGGTCAACCATTAAGATTTCCCCTTCCTTTGAAGTAGGTATTACTACCTTCATTTTTCAATCGAGTAAACTGAGGTACCGACGTATGAATAAAGTTGCCCGGTATCACTCTACTAATTATCAACAAAACCAAGACTAGAACTAAAAATGTCTTGAAATACAAAACATTCCTCTGCTCACTAGATAACCAGGCTGCCTGTACCCCCAAGATGCGAATTCACCTTCATGTGCAGCCCAGCATGATTAAGAACCAGCCGGCCGTCGATCTGACAGATCAGTACTTGAAATTTTTGGACATAATGTTGTAAGCAGATGTATTTCAAAAATAATTGAACCAATATACACATTCTTCCTACCCCTCTTAATCTCAGATAAATATAAAAGGATGAATAGTAATGGTACAAGATGAAATGTTTCCTAGGGAGTTTATATCTTTAAAGACTGGGTGCCTAAAATCACCTGTGGACTTAAGGGTTCATTAAGAGTCACATAAAGGCTATCTCTCCTCAGCAATCCACTTCCTTTCCGTCTAATATCCAACCAGTCTTGAAGTTCAATTTTGTATACTTCCTAATAGCAATCTTCTAAACTCTGTGTGCTTAATGACCCTCCTATTCTTTTCTTCCTTCCATCTGAGATGAAAAGGTGACTTGGGATTTTGGTTTTTTTATGTCAGGTCTACTATTTTTTATCCCTCATGTTGGGAACATTCAGGAATTTATTGCAGTAAATTATAAAGCTAAAGAATCTTGAAATATGTGTACTCTAATTGAAAATAACATCATAGAATAAATAAGCTAGTTCAACGCCTTGATTAAACATCTGAGGCACCTTGGATTTTATAGGAATTAAATGATATAACAAATGCCATCCTGGGAGGTGGCATCAGAATTGAAGTAGAAAGCCCAGTGGCTGCCTTTCAATGTAAGACTTCACCACCATTGACCTGAGCTCATTCTTCCTGCATGTAAATCTTGGCTTAACCATCTGGTAGCGGTACGGCATTGGATAGGTGCTTTGGATTCTGAGTCAGGGTTCCACATATGCCAGAAATACAAGTATTTTTTCCAGAGAAACTTTATGTTGAATAAATGACAAACCAGAAGCGAACCATCTACAATACAAAAAAATAGCATAAAGGCTATTTCTCTCATGTTCTTTCCTCCTTCTCAAACTCTTTCTTAACACCGTATATTTCTGATTTTCTTTTCTATCATTCTGACCAATGTCTTTATATTTTATTGCCTCATTTTGTCTATTCAGCACTCATTATATAAGCACTTAGAAAGACCTTGTGAAAATACTTTTAATCTGTATTTTCTCTCTCAGCACTTTTTTTCCCATCTCCATACAACTTAATTAATAAATCTGTCAAAGATTCCAAAGCTATGTACTCGGACTTAACCTTTCTTAATCCCAAGAATGAGGGTCATGTGACTCGTGGGTCAATGACCCTCTCATACCTAACTTACCATATAAACCTTCAAGGGCACCTCAATATAGATAAAATATGTAATAAAGTTCAAATCCCTCCACATTTCACTCAAGGATGCATTTTTAGAACTGTACTTAAGTCCTCTGCTCTGCTCAGGCCTCCATATGAACTTGCTTCCCCTGAAATAAGTAGTACTTTGTATATTTGTCTCTTTATTCACAATATTTCCCATGCCCCAAAGTTTGCTTGACTCTCTCTACATGTCTAAATTCTACTTACTTTTTGAGAAACATCTCAAATTCTAACACTGCTTTAAATACTCTTTTAGAATTGTCCTAAGTATTATTTCTCTCTTGCTGAAAAGTTTTAGTCATTTTGTAGATCTTTAATATCACATTTTAAGTTCCATGCTGTTTGTCACCATTAGCTATCCCCTCGCCTCACCTTCCCTATTAGATCCTGAGTAACTTGAGGATAAAACAGAGATCTCATTTAGCTTGGCATTTTCATTAGCAGCTAGTCCACTAGTCCAGCTAGTGCTCAGTAAACAAACCAAAAGCCCATTTCTGTTGGATCTAGTCCAACTCATTGAAATCCTATAGGACAAAGAAGAACTTCTCCAACAGGATTTCCAGGGCTGTAAACTTTCTCTCCTAATGACATGACAGAACATTTTCAAGCCTTGAGCCCTTCAACCAGCTTTTCTAGGAATCCAAATAGTATAAAAAGACACTGAGCATCATTTGATCTTAGCCCGGGGTAGTTGTCATTTGTTTTCATCAAGATGGCTCCAGTTCACGATGACCTGATTTACAGCAGAACAAAACATTGCCTTTCCAGTCCAACACCACCTTCACGTTCACTGGTGTATTTGAGTCCATTGCTGTGGCTCTTTGGGGGCTCGCATCTTATGTATGTGGACTAAGGCACGCTGAGGAGAGCAAGATAAATTCTCACCCCCGAAATGGCATGACAGCACGTAGGGCCTTCCTGGCAGTTGCAGGGCATAAGCTTACTTTCTGTTTCAAAATTGCTCAAGTCCTAAATCTTAATGGTCAAAAGCAATGATCCCAAACAACAATGCTGGCATTCTGAGCTTGTTCTTGTCCAGCTCGTTAATTACTGTTTTGTACCGAAATTCAATGAGGACTTCCTGAACCTTATCTTAACTGAATATGCAGGCATCTGGCATTGCAGTATTTTTTTTTTACTTTTTTTTTTTGGAATTATCTATGACATCTATTTCTCTTGATTTTATTGTACTTAACATTTTATTTAAAATAATAGCCAACCATCATTGAATTTTTTGTTGTGCCAAGCTTTATGTAAGTATCTTCCAGGAAGGATCCCAGTCAACTCATAGAAATTATACAAGCCGGATTCTACTGTTATCTCTAGAATCCAGTAGGGGAACTGGATATCAGAAGACTTAGGTAAAAGCCTAACGTCAGACTTTTTATAAGTGGCTGAGCCAGGACCTGAGCACAGCCTTCTCATTGTAGAGGCAGCGCTCTAAACCATGCAGACCTCTCTTCTTTCGTTCTTCATTCCCAGGATTCTCGTGATGTTCGATGTCAATTACCTCCAGAGTTCAGGCTTAGCCTCTTCTCTTCACCTCAGGTGCTCTATCTCTGGGTAGTCTCACTTATTCAAGGACATGAGCCATCTTCTATAGCTTCCTGACTCCAACCATTTTGTTTGTGATTGAATCTCAACTCATCGATCCTGACATCTCTTGGAACATGTTGCCTTGAGTGCTCTCTAGAGGCTTCAACTGAAATATAATTCATCGAGTAGTTTTTGTGTGCCTTCCATTAATATAGATTCTGGATGGCACAAATAATTTGTGCTATGCTACCAACTAAAGGATTGGAAGTTCAAATCCAGTCAGCAGCATCACAGAAGTCTATTTCTATAAGAAAACTCTTTGGAAGATAATTCTACTCTGACACACATAGAACTACCATGAATTAGAATTTATTTGATGGCGATGAGTATAGTGGGTTTCACACTAAACGGAACAAAGAGTTTTTTCCCTCCCAGATATCCCCAGCAACTAGCTCAAGGCCTTATTCAGATCACTCTTGTCTAGGGATCTGTACCATTTATTCTCTTACATAAATAAAAATAATTTTCATTTTCCTGTCATTTCAAGATCTATCCTGAAGAAGAATTCTATCAACGATAGTACAGTATTCATGTGTCTACAATGAAGATCAGTTATTATGGTTATTATTTTCATTAATATACCAACCACTAAGGCCAATGATAAAAAGTCAAATGTTTTATCAGCCTCCATAGTCTGAAAGTGTTTTTAAATTTGTAATCATTACTTATTGATAATTACTGATGATTGGAATGCACAGTGGGAACAAAGAAGGATTAATAGCTGGAAATTATGACACTGGTGATGGAAAGGACAGTAGCGAACACATGATTGAATTTTGCAAGACCAGTGATTTATTATTATAAAAACCTGTTTCTTCCAACAACACAAATGACCATGATATGTGTGGATTATATCAAATGGAATGCATAAGGCCAAATAAATATTTGTGGAAAGAGAAGTTGGAGAAGCTCAATATCATTAGTGAGGACAAGCTTAACAGCCAAATGCTGAATAGGTCATCAACTGCTGCTGTGCAAATTTAAGTTGAAGTCAAAGAAAATTTTAAAAACTCCATGAAAGCCAAGAATGACTTGAGTATATCCCACTTTAATTTAAGGACCCTCTCAAGAACAGATTTTAGACACTGAACCCTAATGAACAAAGACCAGTAACATTATTGAATGATTTCAAGAGTATTGTGTTAGTCTGGATTGATTAGAACAGTGGTTCTCAACCTTCCTAATGCTGCGACCCTTTAATACCGGTCCTCATATTGTGGTGACACCCAACCATAAAATTATTTCCGTTACTACTTCATAACTCTAATGTTGCTGC